TGCTCAGATCCTCCCATATAATCCAGTTGCAATGTCGGTCTGTGTAAAAGGCAACTAAACTTTCACAGCAGATATGCCATATACATGGGGATTACTGTGCCCTTTATCCATAGGCTGAGTTCTTCCCACTCCCCTCGCTCAAATTGCACATCTATTGGAGCTTGCGTATGAGTAGCACTGCAGAACACTGGTCATCCAAAATGTGATGCCAGCTGGATCTATCTGCTGAGCTTTGTTTTTGTCCAGTCTTATCTCTTGCCTCCACAGCTAATGTAGAATTTAAATATGTAGAAGACTCTGACCTAACCTTGAACCCCACCCCGCGCCCTTCAGTCACTTCCACCTTTTCAGGGGGCCATAATGTGACAAAGCCCTTTAGCTTGAGGAAACATTTGAATGCTAGTTATGGCATGACCACAGACCTGCTGCTTTGCCTGTAAAGACAGGCAAAAGGGTTAGTGTCTCCGCTGGATGTGCCCCGGCCCTGGGACATGCTCCTGGGATCCTGGCATCCAACAGCACAACCAAACCTGAAACTGAAGCACCCAACTTGCTTTAAGTTATGGCAGTGATTTGCAATATGCAAATTAAGTCTAGGCTATGCAGATTCTGTACTGTTTGGGGCATATATGTTTTAAACATTAGTTAACTAAAACAAAAAATCCAGTCCTTAATGACAGAATATGTTTTAGTGATTAACATTGCACTGAGTTATGAAGACTTCATGGAAATTATCAAGTCTGTCATGGAGATTATCATGATACAGAGCACAGCATTTTATAAGAGGCTTTATATGTATGGTATCTGTTTTATAGATGTCAAGGAAGGATGTGCTTTAGTCTGAATGCTTGTTGCCAGCTTTCGTCATGTGCTTGTTAAACTTATAACTGGGTTTATGTGGAAAGAACCAAGCCTGCTTTAGCTGTAGAGATACGGATGCTAAGTTCTAATGAATTGGGCTGAGGAAGGGGGTAATCCAATTACTCCTGCTACATACGTGGCTTAGTCTTTGCAGTTTTATTGGATCTTAGGTGTACATAACCATATTATTTCCACCACTTTGAGAGTCTAGCTAAAGTACTGCAGGCGGTATTCTGTACTACAAAACGTCCATGAGGTCTCCTTGACATGCACAAGTCTTTCTAAATTTAAATGGAAACAGAGCATCAGAGCTGTTTTGTGCATGGTTTCAATTAAAGCTGAATCCAGAACAAAATTTCAACCCCACAGGAAATTCCACTGGGTCTAAAATCTTGCTTCTGCTCCAAGGAAAAATGGGAAGGACTGAGCATTATGCTAGGTTGGCTCAAAGCTCCGAAGTGTTTCACTGTAGATAATATAAGCACATTATAGAAGCCACACAAATTTGTTGTCTTGCAAATTTTCAATATATTAACTTAATAAGGCTCTCTGGGTGGGTTACAGCAGAAAAAAATACAAAATAAAATGTGAAATTGAATATAATAAAAATACAAAATAAAACAACAATTACAAATATAAAATACACCACAGTATAAAATGCAGTATAAAATGCACCACAATATCATATATATAATATTATATTTAGCAGCATATATGGGAAAGAGCCATAGGCATTCGACAAAGCATTTGTCAAAATTAAATCTTAGCAAACAAATTTCCTCAGCTAATGATAATGTGTTAAAAGTAGAAAAGAATCTTGTGGCACTTTAAAAACGTACAAGTGCATTTTTCCATAATAAATCTCCACCACTCAAAAGCAGAATGCCAGAAATGGCAAAATGAATTTCTAAACAAGAAACCCAAAGGGTTTGAGAAAACTGAAGTTGCATTTTTAAAGTATAATTTGCATTTTAAAATCTTTCAGGAGCTTTACACTTGTCTTTTAATTCACCACTGTCCTCCTAACTAATTAAACACAGTAAATGGGTAATGTGTTTTAGAAATTTGTTAAAAAATACCCAAGAAGCTAAAATTTTAAACATATCCTCCAGCAATGACATCCAGTATGTTACAACATTAGTTACAACATTAAAGAATATTGCATAGGCCCCAGTGCTGTAGTTCCTTTCTGAGCTTCCTGTCATCTTATACTCAGATTCCACAATGATTGCTGGCTGCTGCTTGCTTCCTTTGGTTGACCAGATGTTGCAGAGCAGACATCCTCTTTTTAAGACAAGAATTATTTTCCTTGTCAAGTCATTTTCCCACATAAGGCCCTCAGAAGATGTGGACGAATTGGTAAGCCTGCAGAACAACAAAGACTCGTAGGAGAAGAGTCAGACAGTCTTCCCCACATGACTTGGAATCTGCTGCCATATTTTAGAGAACAAATAAAGTTGTTACCCGTTGCAACTTTTCAGGCATTTTGCATTTTTTCCCCTTGCTGAATTCTGGATTCTCACCTCTTCTTAGCTTGCATTTCAAAACGTAACTGTGGCTATATGGAGAGCCTGAACAATTTCTACTAAGGTTTCTGTAGAAAAAACACCCCTAACATCCCCTTTTGCAATCCTGGTAACACACTGTCAGATAGGTATCACTGAGGGAGGCCCTAGTTTGAGTGTACTTCACTAAATTTGGCCTTTTACCTCTTTTAACATAGAGTGGTCAAGTTGGAAGGGGCCAAGGACACCATCTTGAGCAAAGTACCCATATCTTATAACTGTGCATTTGTTTCCTGTTCCTAGGTGCAGAACTTGACATTTGTCCATACTGAATCTCATTCTGTTGCTTTCAACCCAGTGCTCCAACTGATTGAGATCACCTTGAATCTTCTTTTTGTTTTTCAGGGTAGTAGCTTTCCTACCCACTTTTGTATCGTCCGCAGATTTGATCAGCAATTCCAGCACGTCTTCATCCAAATCATTAACTGAAATGTTGAAAAGCACTGTGCTGAATACTGAGCCCTGTGGTGCTCCAAACCTTACCTCTCTCCAGTCTGAGAAGGTTGCCACTGAGAAGCACTTTCTGAGTCTGCGTCTGTAGCCAACTATGGATCCACCTGATAGGTGCTCCATCTAGCTCACATTTAGCCAGTTTTCTGATCAGAATGTCATAGGGCACTTTCTCAAAAACTTTGCTGACATCTAGATATATAATGCCCACAGCATCCCCACTGTCCACAAGGGAGGTTCCCCAATCAAAAGCTGAGATCAGATTAGTCTCGCAAAACTTGTTCTTGATAACTCCATGCTAACTTCTAGTAATTACTCCAGTGCATTCAAGGTACTTTCATTTCTTGGATTGGTTCCTCCTTTCCTTTTTCTGTACACTGTAAGCAAGCAGTCCCTAACTCTAGTGGACTAAAGCCCATAGAAGAAGTTGATTTGAACAATCAATTTGGGTATCATTGGATGGGTGCTCTTGAAGAAGTACATTTTCATATTCCTTCCTGACTTTATTTATTTATTTATTACATTTTTTATCCCATTATTTTTCCTTTCAAGGAACTCAAGGCAGATTACATAATCGCCTCCTTCTCTCAATCTTATCATTACAACAACCATGTGAGGTAGGCTGGGCTGAGAGGCTGTGACTGGCCCAGAGTCACCCAGTCAGCTCCATGGCTGAGTGGGGACTAGAACCCAGATCATCTGAGTCCCAGTCCCACACTCTTAACCAGAACACACTTTAGTTCCTCTTTCAGTAGTTTCATTCAATAAAATACTAAGATCCCAGTCCATCAACAAAATACAGATTCTTTGTGGCAGGGAATCAGTACAGAAAAGAATAAACTCAGAGTCATAGAATAGTAGAGTTGGAAAGGGCCTAAAGGCCATTGGGCCCAACCCTCTGCTATTGCAGGAAACTAAGTTACACCATCCCACTCAAATGGCTGTCCAGACACTTTTTGAATGTCTCCAGCCAGAGAGAACCCACCACTTCCCCAGGAAATAGGTTCCATTGACATACTGCTCTGAGGAAATTCTTCCTAGTATCTAGTCTAAACCTGTCTTCTTTCAACTGCATTATTGTGTGTCCTGTACTCTGGAATGAATGGGAAGAGATCTTGTTCTTCCTCTTTGTGACAGCCTTTGACAGCCTCATTTCACCCCTCAGTCTTCTCTTCTTGTGGCTGAACATGCCTAGTTCTCTCTTTCCTCATAGGGCTTTGCTACCAGTCCCTGAATCATCCTTGTTTCCCTTCTCTGAACCATTTTAGCTTTTCTGCATTTTTTTAAAACTTAGGTGCCCAAAACTGGACACAATACTCCAGGTGAGGTCTGACTAGTGCTGAGTATAGTGGAACTCATACTTCATGTATTTTGGACATGACACTTCTGTTAATACAGTCCAAAATAGTGATTGCTCTTTTTGCAGCCACATCATATTCTTGCCTTCCAGAAACATCCATAAACAAAGTACAGCTCATGAAAATGGGAAGAAGTTAGAATCCTTACATCAGCTTATTCCTGCAATTACACCTCCCTTCTTCCACATAACAATCCTTGTTTCTTGGAAGTTAAGTTTCTAGACATCGTGTTAGGGGACTACAAAGCAATTGCCTTTGAGTTAATCTGGTATTGCTTAAATCAGTCATTTCAGCAGCACATTTATAGTGTATATTAATAACATATTTTGTGCTATCCCCCTCACCTACCTCCACCACAAGCAGATGAAATGGTTTGTTACACTTCTCATTTTCTGAATAGGGAAAGTTCATGACTGACCTGAAACTTAAATCCAGACCCCAACCTCAAATTATAATAGTACCTGTTGGTTAACATAGGTGGTGAGTCTGAATATGTAAAATACATATAAAAATTCTGAATCACTTAAAAATCCTTTGGGAATATAATATAATGTAATATAATAATGCTTGCCTTATTATTTTGGAATGAGTTGAAATGAATTATTTAAATGAGCAGTGTTGCCATTTTATTCTGATAGCTGAAATTAGGAATTTCTGACTTTTCCAAGATAAAAGTGGTAGAAAGTGCTCTATGTTTCTTTCTTAACTGCTAAGAGAATCATGGTGGTGGGCTCTATCCTGTGCTATCTTCTTTCTTCTCTCTTAGATACTTGAATTGAACAAACGCATGTCAGCTATCGAATGTATGCTGAACCGTCTTGAGGAAAAGATCCTGGTTCACTCAGAGGTAAAATCAGGAATGGAGGCTTCTTCCACATAGTCAAGAGCCTTGTTTGGGCCTTCGGTTCTTGTGTGAGGGAGAGTGGGATTGTGCTTGCTGGGTGAGGCCCCTGCACTGTATTCCCGAGGCCTCCGTCGCATTCCAGTTGCCCAGCCTTGCCACCTGTGTTGAAGGGAAAGGCCTGGAGAGGGAGTGGGCTGTGCATGCTGAGACTCCATGTGCCACTGGGACCCTGGCAGGGGAACCTTGCCAGAGATCAGCCTGGCTGGCACAGCAGCCTTTCCCACACCATGCGCTGACTTACAGCACTCCTTCCGTGCTGAAGTTCAACAGTCCTGCTGGAAATGGGTATTTGTGACTTTATTGGAAATGCATGGCTGCTTTAGTGTTTTATTAGGAAATGCTTTGAGTTGAATATTAATGTGTTAGTTTGTAAGCCACTTTGAGAGTTACATAAAGCAGTTTGCTCTGTGAAATAAAAAATAGAACACTCTCAGAGGACATTAAATGTGAAAGAAACCCGTGCTTTTTTTGTTTGGGCATTTTCAGCACGGACACTAGAAATACCTCAAAGTTTCTTACAGACGTATGGTGCAGAAGTGAACATTGTTAATGTGCAGGTTAGAAAGCACAAGGAAATGAATGTTCAAGCTAAAGTAGATTTTTTGTGGCTACTACAGATGCAGCAAATGTAGAAAATATATATTTTAGTGCCTACATGTATATTATCGGGACTGTTTTTTATATAGCCAGAAAACTGAATTGCATGAAATCCTTCTTTTCACCTGGGTTTTCACCTTCTATCTATCTATAAAATTTGTATGCCGTCCAATTACTTACGTCTCTGGATGGCTTACAACATAGATAATGTTGTTTTTACCTAGTTTCTTCTTCACAGTTATTTATTTTAAGTCCCATAGGGGTGCTGCACTCCTGTATATTGTTTTTCCACAGTGGGGATCAGTACTTAGCCATTTGCTGCTGGGTCCTAAGTCAGGGTAAGGAGGTAGGAACAATTCCACTAGCATCAGGGCCTACCATACCGTTACTGACAGGCAGACATCTATTTCTCATAGTGCGGTTTCAAGCAGTAGTATTGTCCCCTGAATAAACTACTGTAACATCACCATTGACCGTACCACTAATGTGTCCTTTTCTGAAGATCACGGCTACACAATCTCACAGACTCCCCTTCAGAAATCAGTCCCAATCCCCAACCCATCCTTCAAGCAGTTATGCATAGCAGAAGGAGGTACAGGTAGAAGAACAACCACTATCAATCCTCTCCAAGGAAGCAGCTCCGTTTTATTCCGTATAGATTCCTGGCAAGTAAAAAGTTGGAGTGGTTACCAAGCTGCCCAGAGCCCATGGGCCCCTTAAGGTTCTGGTGGTGGCTTGTGAACCATGGCAACAAGCCACGGTTGCTGGGCTTGTTGCAAGTAATTGTGCAGATCACTCCGGCACGCTGAGGGCACCGGCAGTGGGACAAGCAAGCCGCTATGGTGGATCCCTCCCCACCCCGGGTGCTCGTGAGAACAGACCCAGAAGCAGCAGCTGGGCTGAACTAAGATCACAGAGAGAGCGGACTTTTCTCCTAAGCGACCAGTCAAAGCTAGCAGCTGCGTTGCCGCTATCCTTTCCAAGGTGGTTCATGCATGTTCTCAGGCGCTGCAAAAGAGCCAGGCGTTCAGTCAGCAAAGTAAAGGTAGGTCTGATATATTTTCTAAAATGTTTCCAGACAAATCACTCCTGCAATTTCACTAATTTTTCAGAGTCTCAGTTTCTGGCTAGCCTTAGAAGGCACCCATTGAAATGTTAAAACAGCTTCGTAAAACAGACTGGATCATATAGAGGAATATTTCTTATATTTGCTCTTCTAGCCTTTGGCTCCTGAGTCTCAAATGGATCCTAACATAGAAGAGAAGGAACTGAAGAGAAAACTAGAAGAGATGGCAAGTAACATCAGTGACAAAGCAGTTTCTTCTGAAGAAGAAGAGGGAGGAGGGGGAAAGAAGACCAACGAGTGTGAGGCAAAGATGAGCTCGTCCAGTGATGACCTACCCATTGATGCTAAGGAGGTACCGCCTTCCCTTTCACTGCTCCTTCTGTCTTGCAGAAAGTCTGTTGTGCACCTGAATTTCCCTACGTTGTGGTGCAACCAGCTTGCTTTGCCCGTCGTGCTACATGCAATAATGCAATGGGGGGATTCAGATAGTTTAATCATTCCCCTTCCCGGCAAGGGTAATGATTGCAGTTACTGTGTCCATATAATTGCATATGATAGTACACTGAGACTGTTGTATGCAAATCAAAACACTGTTTAGGCAATATAGCTGTGCAAATACACCCTTGTGGTCTGTTAATAAACACATTATTGATAAATAATGCTTGGGGTCAAAGAAGATGTAAACATGAAAAACAGATCTCCCGTTGTGTCTTTTGTAAAGTTTAGTAGGCAGCTATGAGCTAGGGGAAGGAGCCAAGCCAGGCCAGGTCTGGTGTTTGTGGTAACTCTTGCTCCTGCACTGTGTTCGTATTGGAAATTGCCTCCCTCCCTCCCCCTCTGGCTCCGATAGCATTTCTAGTGATTTTTTAGTTTTTTATGTTGATAATGGTTTTTTTTACTTTGTATTCTCTTAAGAGCGATCTAAAGGTGAGCTGGCAAGAGAAAGCAAAGCCATGGGTGAGCACAAAGGTGGGGGGGGGCGGGTAGTTGGTTAATGCATATATCCTTTATTTAGCACTGCTAATTCATTACTGCACCAGCTTCAAGCAAGTATGAATGAGGCATTTCCATCGCTGACTCTAGGATTCTGTGGACCTGGATTAATACTTTTTGCTGATCTCTTTGTTGCTCTAGTAGGAGGGCCTTCTCTGCAGTGGCGCCCCGATTGTGGAACATGCTCCCCAGAGAGGTCCGCCTGGCGCCAATGCTTCTTTCTTTTCGGTGTCAGGCGAAAATCTTTTTATTCTCCCAGTATTTTAATTGTTAACTTATTTTAGCTAGTGGGTTTATATTTTAACATTGGATGCTGGGGAACTGTTATTCTTATTTCTATTTTTAGGATTAATTTGCTGTAAACCATCCTGAGACGTCTAAGCATGGAACGGTATAGAAACATTTTAAATAAATAAAAAGCATGAATAATTCCATTATAATTAAAGAATGGAAGAGTGTGTCTCTTCTCCTGTTTCCTAGCTTCTCTTTGGGCACCCTTTATATTCAAGTGCTCCATTAGCACAAAAAGAAGAGGGCTATATTCGTTTGGGTTTCTAATGGCTTTTTTGGTCAACTTTTCCCCATTTTATTGTTGCTGAGCATCACAATGCCTCTCTTAATGAACAGCTTTAGTGTGAAAGAACTGAACATGAGCCAAACTGCCTATATCAGTTTGTGCTAAGCTACCTTCTCATTATCTAAGACTAGGATATAAAAAGTCTGGGCCACAGGCAGCCCCCAGGCCCTGTCTGATGGCCCCAAAAGCCTCAATGACTGCCACTGCAGAAAAAGTGGGGCCTGGAAAGGAGGAAAAAGGCATTCTTGGGAAAGAGTTTGTGGTCAAAATTTCCTGTCTACTTTCTTGAACACTGGGAATGAGCAAAGAGGCTGTTCTCTAGATTCCTCCCCCGCACCATTTTGTTGACTGGCGTGGGATGGACTGGCTGAGTCAGCAGGGCTTCAATAGCCTGATGCTGCCCTTGAAAGAAAAGATCTGTTGCTGCTGTTTGTACTAAATGGAATTAAAAAGCACCCATCATTAGCTTCTTGGCAGGACTGATGTGGCGTTTATGCTTTCACAGCCCACATGCGATATGAGCCACAGGTGAGCATCACATGGACATAGCATTTGAAGATGAAGGTCTCGTGCTTGAAGTGACGCACGGTTATCCACCTCATCATGAGACTCTGAAGGGGTAGTCCCTACCCTGCCCCTTTCGTGGGTGGCACAGAAAGAACCATGACAGCTGTCCCTCCCCACACACACTGACATTGCAGCAAGGCCTCAGAAAGGGCAAAAAGACCAGGCCAAGGAGCAGGAAGGAGAAGAAACTGGTTCTGGGGTCCATACCTTGGGTGCCTCGGTTTCCTTCCTTCACTGTCCCTAGTGCTTCATCTAGGTGACCAAGAACAGAAGTCCAGTTGAAATGCAGGGCATGAATGTGGCACCTCCTCCCATGCACAGGATGCACATAAGCCTCCAAGTCTGGGAGATGACATTAATACCTGTGGAATACCATAGGCCACCGCTATAACACAGCCCTTAAGAAGGTCAGAACAAGTAATAATAAAAATACAGTGAAAGACAGAATAGAACATATTGGCATAACAATAGAACAGCTGTGCCCCGCAAAAGACAAGGCGATATTATAAATTTAGTGGAACTTACCCAAATAAAGCACCACAGAGTGTATATGACTGAAACAAATGTGAATTTCAATGAAAAGGTGATCTTTCTAACATAAAAAAATAGAAAGCCTAAATGGACTTCTCTCCAGTCTGATGTTCTTTTTTCCATCATTGTTTCTTGAGCGGTCCTAATGACAAGCAGATTTGTCAATTATTTTTCTCCTCTTCTCCTCTCCTCTAAATATAATGTAAACCCTTCTGTCACCAAATAATCTCAGAAGACGATCAGACTCTGCTTTAACTACAGTGCAGCCTTGGACAGTGTGGACCATAAGAAGTCATGGATGGCTCCCAAAACTCTGATGCTTGGAGGCTTACAGGCATCCCGTGGAGTGTGGGAGGAAAACGGAAGCCTTCACTGGCTTGCCTGGTGTAGCAGGCAGGGGAGGGCCCTGGTCTCCATGGCCAACCTCATAGGACTTTTCCAAGTGCACAGCAGGGGCTCTGACGCTTCCAGTGCCTACTGGCCGTGGGATTGTGCCCTAAGCTTGCATTTTAACATACAGATAATTTTGTTATTCGATACTTTAGGACCGCCATATGATGATTCCCTTGGAAAATCAGAATTGGGACATGTTTCATACATGAATGCTGTGGTAACATTCTTGAAAGTGTTGTTAGGATGTATTAATAGGTTTTGTATAAGTTACCATTGTTCGCAGCCCCACCCTGACTCCATGCATAACTGCTTTCCAGACAACCCACCAAGGCATTCCTGGGAGCAGAATGTAGAAATGAAGAGGCCCAAATAAAACCCTTCACTATTGGACACAAATGGTCACCATTAAGGGTCACTTCAGGATCTCCAAGGCATAATGTAGTTTCTCTGCAGCTGTGTAGCAGCTGCTGCCTAATGAGAGCTCTTCACTTGCATTCTGAGGTGGTGTCTTTATCACAGATTTATTCTGTGAAGTATCCAAGATCAAAGCTCTCCTTCAGCGGCGGGTCCACTTGAAGCTGAGAGCGCTCCGTGGACAATGTGAACCCTCCAATTAAAGCTTTTACATCCCTCCCCACACCTCCCCTGGCCGCACTTCACTCTTATCCCCGCCATTTCTGCTCCCCTGCACACAGGTTACAATAATTCTTGGGTTGCTCATTGCGGCATCACAGCCAAAGTGCTTGAGAGCCATTAGCACCATAGAGAGAGCCCTGCATGACTCACCGAAAGGCTAGAAGCATTAGGACGATGATTTTCTTCTCTTGCAACTTGGGAAATAGGAAGGAGTTGCCTCAAACCTAAGAAGGATTAGAAAGAAAATTGGCAGCATTTCTGAGAGAGCAGACTATTTGCAAGCTACTTTGACCACACAAGAGACCACACAACAGATATTTCAGTCTAATGAACTATTCCCTGAAGTTGCCAAGAGTTATACCCATTTCAGTTGGCTGGTTGCTAATGTCTTCCTTTCCAGTCACTTTTAGCCGTGGGGTGGGGTGTTGCTGGGCTCCATGGGAATGCTCTCCAGGCTCCCTAGACTAGGTCTAACTCCTTGTCTAGAGTGTTTGCCTCTTGTGTTGGGCCAGAGGGACATATTCAGGATCTCTTGTACCACCCATCCCATGACCCAACAGTCTGAGCTGAGTAAGGTTGCCTCAGCTAGGGTGGAGGCAAGTCCTTTGGCAATCCTTCCCTCTAGCATCAGCGGAGGGACTTTCTTCTGTGCCTTCTTCCCTGCCCACTGATGCTGGGAAAGGGAGTCCTGCTTGTGCAGTGGGTGGGGCTTGAGTCCTGGTGAGTACCTTGTGAATGCTGGGCGTGCTCACCAGGAACCTGGATTCAGGGCCACTGCGTTGCAGATTCCAGGGAGCTGAGCCCAGGGAATTGGATAGATACCCACCTCCAGGCCTAAGATACCGGTTTATGATGGTCATTGTGCAGCATGCCCTCTGCTCTGAAGAGCAGCAAGTGCCAGGCAGCATTAGAGAGAGTTTCCTTTGAATGAGGCGTGGCACTGGAGACTTTTTGCAGTGTTTACAGCAAATGGCATTTGTTTATTTACCTATTTTTAGCATGCATACAAGGCCAAGCCTCAGCGAAGGCAAACAGCCCTTTTGCAGAAGACAGTAGGTCTCCAGACGGCAAGGGTAGCACTGCCTTCTGGTCCCCCAGCTACGCCAGCTATAGATACTCAGCCTTTCTGTTGCGCTCTACCCACCTCAGACTGGTGCTTCTCCCCCACCTGCTGGCACACAGGCAAAGCTTGTGGAGGTGCCCTCTCTGACTCCAAACCTGCAGGTAAATCTGATGCAGGTGACCCTTTCTCCACGTGATTCACATGGCACAGAGGGAGCGTGGGGCTGGCCTTGCCGTCACCATTTCATCTCCCACTGGCTCATCTCCATTCTTCCTGCGGGGAGAAGCCTGCCAAATGAGAGGGACATGGGGACACCCTGTAGCTGCAGGAGGTGCAGACATGACCCCACTGAGTGCACAGCATCAGTGTAGTGCCAGTGCATCTGGCCCTGCTTGCATTAATCACATGAAGACATGTGAATGGGGTTGAATAGGTATTTAGAAACCTCTGCTGAGTTGAATTCACAACACTTACGTAAAAGCCCGTGTTTAGGGTCAACAACACATTATATTAAACATGTACTTTGTCATTGCATTTTTCTTTTAAAATAATAGCAGTGAGGAAGAAGGCTCAACACCACCCCTAACTTCCCACCCTCTCCATAAAAACCCACTATGCCGAAGCTGCAGGAGCCACAGGCCTCAGTGGCAGCTTCTCAGTAGCTGGCAGTGAGTGGCCTGTTGCCTCTGTCTGGCCAGGTGATGTGTAGTTACAATAACCAACACTCACCAATAAGCCTGTCCCCTATTAATATGTTCAGGCTCCTTTGAGGTCCTTTGAACTTGCAGCCCTTCTCTTTTATGGCAGTGAATTCCATAAGCACTTCCTTTTATCTCTCCTGAACCTTATCCTACTTTCTAGGTGACAGCACTCTGGGTCAAATTTACACCACAGTTTGCTGAAAAAACCTGCATCTGATTAGGCTTGGTCTGCACAAGAATTTGGCCAACTTTGGTGGATGAACGTGGTATTGTTCAGCCTGAGGATATGAACAAATAGTTTGATGATGTGAAGTCAATGAGTTCTTTGCTGGACTCATGTCCTTCTTGGCTATTAACAGTAGTTGAGGAGGGGTGGAGATAGTAAGGGCTTGGTTGAAAGAGGATAGTGCTCCAGATTTTCTAAAATAAACTCCTGTAATCTTGTTAAAAAAGAAATAATTGGATCCCATCATCTTAAGTAATTTTTAGCCAGTTTCTAACCTTCCTCTTTAAAGGTCAGGTGCCAGAATGAGCCGGTGGCAATGCAACTTCAGTTTTTCTTAAACTGAGATTATTATTTGGATCCTTTCCAGCCTGATTAGACCCAATTTTTGGACAGAAACAGCCTTGGTGGGTTCTGTTGGACCCCTCAGCAGCATTCAGTATCACTAATGTTAGGCTAGTGTGTGGTTTGAGGCACCGTTTTCCAGTGCTTCCAATCTTGCCTCATTGAACAATCTCAAAAGATGGCCCTGGGAACTATTGCTTGAGCCCATTACTGTTCCTCTGAGGGATTCCTCAATTTTGTTCCCCATATTTTTGCACATCTATCTGAAGGGCAGTGGTGGAGGAGGTAACATCTAGAGCTGGGTCTACCCTGATAAACCCAGTAGTACCTCCCTTTTTCAACTGCTGTCATGGCGGCTGCGGAAGCCCCGAACAGCAATGGATCGGTGGCGATGAGAGTCACAATGCAGAAATGGGTTGGATGCGACTTGCAAGCTGAAGCTCAATGTAGGTTCTGCTTATCTGTCGACAAACCCGTATGAATGCGTGGGTACCGCCTGCGCTGGATGAGGTTGCCCTTCCTCTCCAGGGCTATATTCATTGACTGGGGGGCATCTCTATCTCCAGCACTTCTCCTGGAGTATCCGGGGGTTCGTGAGGTCAGAGTTGCCATTGTCCAGGTTGGGCTGGTATGCCTGCTGCATGTCTTCCTGAAGAGGGTAAATCTTGTTACAGTGACTTAATCATCTCTCATTAGATTACTGAGAAGTGCTGTACACACAGCTGCCATTGATGGGTGCCTGGAAATGTCAGCTGGAACAAAGCACAGAACCACATGTACATTTATAGATCATGCAGCCCTTGCCCCGGTTTTCCATCTGTTTCTGAGCTAGAGGGCAGGGTAGGGAGGTGTTCAGGCCTCTGCTGGGCACTTTGCAAGACATATGCCTGCTTCCCCGGGGCACCATGGCCCCTCCCCCCAAAAGGAGACCCCAACAGAGAATTGAAATGCTTCCATCTAGCACCAGTACATTAATAACTTTGCATGAATGGAAGTAAAAACTCTTTTTTGGTGTTCATTTCTGGGCACACAAACAAACAAACTGGGCAGCCTTCAGTATCTCCTCCAAGGTGCCACTGTGGCACTTTGAAGGGGGAGCTGGTAGCCACACGAACAGTGATGGAGTGGTTGGCTGTCAAGCTGGCTATCCTGGTCTCCAAAAAGAAACAAAGAATGTTTAAAGGGCAAAAAAGCAAGAAGGAGCCAAAAAGAGTTCTGCTTCGTGGCAGCAGAATTCCCCAATTCTGCTGCCATGTGTTGCTTGGGCAGAGGCGAGGGCCAGCTCAGAAAGAGCGGCAAGGAATCTCTTGTTGCTCTTTCTGAGTGGCTCACTAGCAGTTTGGCTTGGCCAACAGGAGGTTGTGTCATCCAAATTTGGACAACATGAAACTCATTGTGGGGAAAACAAGTCGATTGTGGGTTGGACCCAATGTCCTCATTCGCTCCTTCAGCTCCTACATGATTCTGTGCCCGAAAACTGAACATGGGGTCTTTCTGTGGTTAATTTAAAAGACAAGGGGGAAAATCCTACTCACACTGGCTAACTCATGGCAGCTTTGCACAACAGAACAACTGATGTTTGACTGTTTTCATTGGCTGATTGTCATGTTGGATAAACTCAGTCATTAGAGAACTGAGAACTGAAAAAGAAAAAGACCTCGCAGTTATTCTGGACAACAGGCTAAATGTGAGCCATGAATGTGATGCAGCTGCAAAAAGGGCAAATGCTGTTTTGGGAGGGATTAATAGAAGCATTACTTCCAAATCACAAGTAGTAGCAGCTGCCCTATACTCCTCACTAGTTGGACCTCATCTGGAATACTGTGTCCAGTTCTGGGCACCAAGATTTAAGAAGGATACAGAAAAACTAGAAAGGGTCCAGAGGCAGGCAAGAAAAATGACCCAGGGTTTGGAAACACTGCCCTTTGAGGAGGTGCTGAGAGAACTGGGCATGTTCAGCCTTGAGAAGAGAAGACTGAGGTGGGACATGATATCCCTCTATAAGTACCTCAAAGGCTGTCTGAAAGAGGAAGGTCAAGGGGACAAGTGGCTGGAGAGCAGCACTTATGAAAAGGATCTGGGGTGCTGGTCAACTGCAGGCTAAACGTGAGTCAGCAGTGTGATGCGGTGGTCAAGAGGGTGAATGCCACCCTTGGCTGCATAGCCAGAAGTATAGCTAGAAGTGTGGCTTTTAGATCGAGAAAGGCATTACTGACACTTTTTACGACTGTGATGTACCTGTAGCTGGACTATTGTATTCAGTTCTGGGCCCCTCATTACCAGAGGGATGTAGCAAGGTTGAAATCAGTGCAGCGAAGGGACACAAGGATGGTGGCTGGTTTGCGGGGTAAGCCTTATGAGGGGAGACTGAGGGAGCTGGGTCTCTTCAGCCTTGAGAAGAGGAGACTCCAAGGGGACCTGTTAGCAACATACAGGTACATGAAGGGGTGTCGTGTGAAGGTGGGTCGTGACCTTTTCCCCCCTGCAAATGAAGGCAGGATGTGTTCCGATGGTATAAAGCTCAGGGAACCAAGATTCAAGGTGGATGCCAAGAATTCCTGACTGACGGTTAGAACCCCTACAGAATGGAATGGGTGGAGCCGGTTGGAGCTGGGGGTCAGACCAGATGACCAGGGAGACCCCTTCTGACTCGCTCTGTTCCTATTTTTCTATGTTTCTGTCTTTTCTTGCTGATACCAGAGTGTAGGACACGGAATACTCAATTCCAGTTGCAACAACCCAGATTCAGGCTGGACATCAGGAAAAGCTTCCTCGCTGTCAGAGCAATGTGACAGTGCAACCAGCTGCCTAGAGAGGTGGTGGACTCTCCCGCACTAGAGACATTCAAAAAGAAACTGGACAGCCATCTGAATGGGGTGGTGTAACTTTGTGTCCTGCAACAGCAGGGGGTTGGACCCAATGGCCTTCTTGGCCTCTTTCAACTCTCTGATTCTAGGAGCCTTTTATAATTTTTGGGTTGTTTTTCTAGACCATTGAGGCAGCAGGCAAGAGTAAACAAAGAAAAACTAGCATTCTCTATGCAAGGGTATGTTGTTGTTCAGTCACAAAGTTGTGCCCGGCTCTTTGTGACCCGATGAACAACATTCCATACAAGTGTTAGGATACCAGAAAAGCAGATAGGATACTGAGAAGGAAGTAGGGCAATGGGATGAAAACAAACCAGCAGCTGAGAAAGCAAACTGTTGTTTTGTAATTGTCTGCCACTCTGTCACCCAAACCATGAGTAGGCAGCATGGCATGGGTTAACTGCAAACCATGTTGTTTAACAAAGTGGCACTTCTGGCATTTAACAATACCCCTTTCAGTCTTGGAGCTAATAGGAGGGCAATGCAGCCCTTTAGGGGCAGAAAACCGGCTGAGATGCGAAGAGATTGTGAGTTCGGCAAGGCAGATGTTTGAAGCTAGCAGCACTGATCTTCACAGGACCAAAGATCACTTACACTGCAATTATATGCATGTACTCAAAGTAAGTGCCTATAGGTTTGCATCCTTAGGTGTGTTCCATGATAACTGTAGAAAAAGCATTATAAAGTCTTTTAAAAAGTAACCATCTACGAGTCTGCTCACTAGGAATGTAACTGCCTAGCTGGAAGGTGACTTGTGTGGTTGGTTTCAGGTATGTCTTTCTGATGGAAGGGCATATGGGCCAGAGAAGAAGCTGGGAGCCCAGACTGACCATGCCCACCACAGTGCAGCCACGGATTCAGAGCTGTCTGAACTCGAAGACAAAGTGGCTTTGGCAGTGGCTCAGGTGCAGCACACTGAAAGTGAGGTAATCTGTATTTCTGGAATGCTGGTGACTCAAGAATAAAAGGAGGGAATAAGCGATTCTAATAAAAATATGATTCCTTCCCATAATGCTTTGCTGTTGCTAACACAATGCTGGAACGCAACCTGCAAGTTAATCCTGTGAAACCAGAGTATAACCTGTAAAAAAAAAAAAATAAAGATCATGGAATAGTCTATTTTGAGAATGACTGGAGAGCCAGTGTGGCGTAGTGGTTAAGAGCATGGGACTGGGACTCAGGCGATCTGGGTTCTAGTCCCCGCTTGGCCATGGAGCCAACTGGGTGACTTTGGGCCAGTCACAGACTCTCAGCCCAACCTACCTCACAGGGCTGTTGTTGTGGGGATAAGATGGAGGAGGAGAATGGTGTAAGCTGCCTTGAGCCCTTTGTAGGAAAAAGGCAGGATATAAATCGAAAAATAAATAAATAATAAGTGTGGTGAATACGCAAAGCACAGCATGTTTGTCACCCCTGACCAGGTGCAGAATGGCCCAGTCGCTACCCACAGCATGTTTGTCACCCCACAGCACTGGCTCCCACAGTTAAAGAAAATAGTCAATAGAATCGGTCTACGTGCAAGACAAGACCTGACTGACCATGGCACTTTTGCCACAATGCCCTGGTTTCTATACTGTCTTTGTGTGGGTAAAAGGAGTTGCATCACCTATATTAGAAACTAATATGTGTCTTTTGCTCAAAAGGTATCTGATATAGAATCCCGAATAGCAGCTCTCAGTGCTGCTGGGCTGACCGTTAAACCCATGGAAAAATCCCGAAAGAAAATGAGCAGCAAAGTGAGTAAACCGACATCTTACAAAGAGTAACCTAAAAGCTTGCACAATTTGGGATTTTGTAGAATTTTAGGGTGGTTCTAAGAAAGGTATTGCTTGTGGATTTATTTATTACTAAGATAGTTACCTTGTTGTTTTTAAGGGCTTATTTATGAAAGCCGGAAGGAAGACTTTAGATGAATATATGTCCACTTAATACCAAATATTTCTTGTATTAATTACACTGATTATTAAAATTCACTTATAATGAAATAGTGCAGTGTGCAATAGTGAAATGCTACAGTGACATTTTACATATGTGTGAAAATGAATACGAGCTTAGAATCTTCCAAGACTGTCAATGAAGGGCTTTGTAGCTTAAGAAAGCTCCGAAACTTTTCCCAAGTAAAACACTCCAGTACTTCCGAGGACTGCAATTCTCAGCATGCTTGCCAGACAGCAAATCCTACTGAACTTGGTGGGATTGAAAGACATGGACATTACGTGACACATCAGATTATTTAATCTTCATGTAAATAGTCTATTTGCACAGTGGCATCAGTGTAGCACATTGTAGAGCAATGCAAGCAAAAGGCCATTTACACTTGAATTAGGAGTGATTTAGGAAAAGAGGAAACGGGGTGACTGAGGCCCAGCATGACTGCACTCCCGTGTAATAATGTGACTTTGTGCGTCTTCGTTCCTGTTGGGATTTGGGTCTGAGGGGTCAAGCCGAAGATGGCTAAGGTTTTGCACGGGGCCTCAGAAGAAGGAAGAGAGACTGCAGCATGGTGACTTTTGGGAGGACATGCAGGCAGTAAAGCAGGATGAGTCATCTTAGAGATCAGGCTTTTGTGGACAAAAATGAAAGCAACTGCCATGAAGTAAATGTTTTGAATGCTGATAGTAATGCTAATAAAAGTAGTACTGATTGATAGTTACTCATACTTCTGATCCATGGCATTTAAAACTCCAAAAATCATGCAGAGTTCAGTATTCCCTTAAGTGGCCAGTAGAAATCACCCGTGTGTCAAAGGACACATGCAGCAGAGAGAGGCCCTTAGGAAGACCTTATCCTTTTATATAAGCACATGGTTTTAGCTTGGCTTTTCATGTTTTTAGTATCACATTATGCTTCTACACTGACACAGAGCAGTGGGGCTGAAAAGCCAGAAGCAAAGTTCTCTTGGGAATGAATGGAGCAGTCGCTCTGTGAGTCGGTCGCGTCAGCAGACAACCAACCAAACTTTGCCAATGTGCAGCTGAGAGGTCTTGCACTACAACCAACCAGGACATGTTTTCCATGTCTCCCCCCACCACTGCCCAGCTGTTTACTTTCCAGTGTCCTGGGAACACACAAGACTCTGTAGAAGAGCTGTATTCAGGCTCTCCTATTAGCAACGCTCAGTGACTTCAAAGGAACTGAACATTTGCTGAGATGCAAATGGGACACAGAAAGGTTGAAGAGTTACAATTAAATCAGTTGTGGGGATGGAAAAGAGGTTTTTTGGCTGCTAGTTGAAACCCACTCAAATATGTCATTTATTTTAGAGTAGTCTCACTGACGTCTGGGGTCACTCCAGAGCAAGTAACTGGTAATTTTCCACCTAGTTTAGAGTTTGAAGTAAGTTCATGTTACTCTGAAATCTCCTAAGGATTGCCCGGCGAACTATTAGAATCTTGCTCATTTGTGCCCATGGAGCATAAATACATACTGACTTGATTCAGCTTCAGTACACATTTCCTACTACACATTTTTAACCTTCAGCATGTTTTTCCAGCATAGCTAGGGCACAAGTAGTTAACAGTAACCCAATTGCAGTCTAATTCCAACAGTTATTATAATTTTGACAATGATTAACGAAGGATACAAATTCAAGAATAAGGTTCAACACCTTGAACTGAATAAAACTGAAAGATGAAATCATGCTTATTTAATCATTTACTTATTTATTGTCAATATTTTTATATTGCCCTTCAGTATGCCTACTGCTGGGAGTGAGGGAGACCGTTGCTCTTGGTGTTCTTTCTCAAGGTCTGCAGATTGAATCTGAGGAGGGGGGAGAGGCTCGTAATGTGGGCCAGTTCCAGAGGTTAAGATGAGAGAAGCAGAGGCACTGGTCTTAAGGCCAGGCTCCCCAGGTGGGTGGGCAGCGCCCGAGAATAACCAAGATGTGCAGGTAGCAGGAGGGGGCTCACAACAAGAGCATTTCCAGAGACGGACAGGGTGGGCATGGCTTTTGACTCATCAGCAGAAGACGGGGGCTGTCCAGCTGCCTCTTGGAAGTATCCAGTGCGGGAGAGCTCACACTCTTCCTAGGTCTTTGGTTCCACTGACACACAGCTCTGGCAGTCAGGAAGTTCTTCCTGATGGCCAGCTGGAATTGGGCTTCCTGAAACTTGAGTCCATTATTTCATGTCCTGCACTCTGGGATGAATGAGAAGAGATTCCGGCTTTCCTCTGTGTGACTGTTAGAAGAGTGCTAGCATATCTTCCCTCAGTCTTTTCATCTTAAGGCTATAAATGCCCAGTTCATTCAAGCTCCCAGGGCTTTGTTTCCAGTTCCCTGGTCATCTTTCTTACCATCCTCTGCACATTTTCCAAAAGATTTTCCGCTGTATCTTTCTTTAACTATGGAGCCCAGGACTGGAACTGTGCACTTCCACCTTTTGAATTGTGCACTTCAGCCTGTGTCATCGATGATCAATTTGCCCTCCTCCTTTGCCCTTCTTCCCACCCTTTCTTTCTGCCTTTTACTGTGCTCCTACGTGGAAAAAGCCTTTTTCTTGGTCTTACCGTCCCATGCTAGCCTCAGCTCATCCTCAGCTTTAGCCTTCCTGGTGTCATCTTTGTGCCACCTGCCTGTCTCTTCATATGTCACCTGTCCTTCCTTCCAATTCCTATTTGTGTCCTTTTTATTTGCAACTCGAGATTTTTTTTTGAGTCACATTGGTTTCTTGTTATATGGTATCTTTTGTTTATCTTGGAATATTTGGTAATTGTACCTTTAACATTTCATTTTATAGAAAACCCACCCATCTTGGACTCCTTTTTCCATAGGTTCACTTTCCACTGGACCTTACTGATCCTTGTCCTGAGTTCATTAAAATCAGTTTTCCAAAAATCCAGAGTATGTGTATAGCTCTGCCCTAGCCCCCCCCCCCCCCCGCTTTAAAATCATCTACTCTAGTATGTTGTGGTCACTTTCCTCCAGCTCATCCCTTTCAGTCAGTCATCAAGTATAACCAATGCTCTAGTTCCTACCACCACTTTCTGCAGAAGAAAGTTATCTGCCATTTGTATACAACCTAACAAGATTTTACTTCTTTTAGGTAATGTCTATGCCGCATGTGTTGAGGAGAAAATTCAACACCCCTCTTGAAATTGCAAGTAAGACCCATGCTCATTTATTTATGAAGTGAAGAAAAATGCTTAATGCTGAGGGAAATTAGTATTTTCAAGGCATAACTTGAGTTGCACAGTCTATCTTAGCCACATAAAAAGGAATGTTTTAAGCACCTAAGAAGACCTGTCAGTATTTTTTAAGGGGTTATCTGATAATATAAACTGCAAAAAACATTAAACGTATCTGTGATCATCTCCCCATTTATGAATAATTCCCTTGAAGATTTTGATTTCTTATTCATAATGAGCTAAGAAAAAAGCCAGAGTAAACCTAAAATCAGCCGATTTAAATATTCTTGGTCCACTGTCCAGATCACTTCAAATGTATTATCATTTTTTCCATTGTAAAAACCCATTTATGCTGTGTATGCCAGTACTCAAATTCCCTTACTGCCCATGCCTGTCATTCACTGTTCCATGACAAGAACATTTACACATGCTTAATGGAATTGCCATTGAAGCATGTAGATGGATGCACATTTGTAGGGAAAGCTGATCAATATACACTTTGCTTTCACCAGTAAAACTTGAAGTAGGAGATCAGTACTAAACCAGCGTATGAATATCAAGTGTTTCTGTGTTTCCATTCAGTATGGTGAAAGTTGAGCCTGTTCACAGACTTTCACCTCTAACACAAGCCACAACTTATGCATTGAAAAACACTAAAGAAATTTGCATAAAATCCAGGGATTTGCACAAATTGACTCTCAAAAAGACATGCATTGTGCAAGGACAATGTGTATTGTAGATGCTAAAACACACAAAATACTGTTTGTGCAAATTGCATAGATTTTGTAAATTATGTAGGTAGCCCAATTTGCCCGTTTCCTTGGTGTGTAAAAAAATTGCACAAACTACAGCCCATATTAGAGACACAAATCCATGGGGAAAAACCAAACTCAGACAGCTTCCAAACATTAGACCGGAAGTGGTCTGGAAGTCCATTGACCTTAAATGAACCAAACTTCCCTAGGGAGAACCAGGCATTCTTGAGCTTTCTGTGATTCTTTGACTCCTGTTCAGGGCATGGTTTCCCTCTCTCCTGCTTTTGTTTGCAATCTGTTTTTCTTCCTGTTTAGATGTGTACTTCACCTGTATTGATTATGTTGAGGAAAATACACATTGTAAAGTCAAACCCCCCTACCTTTGGTACCTGAACTCTCTATGCTTCCAAAAGTATCGACGGCTGATATAGTGGCCAAAAGACTGAGCTATGAGTCAGGAAGTACCTGGTGCAACTCTTGCCTTTGCTATGAACTAACAGGGTGGCCCGTAGGAATGGTGCTTGATCAGTCTTTCAGCCTGAGCCCCTGCAGCTGCAATCCCATAAGTGGTGACCATTAGCACAATCCCAAAAAGAAGACCAAAGAGGACACATGTTAGCATAGAATTTGCATATCCTAACTTACTTGCACAGGTGCTAATGTAGAAATGAAGGTGACTGGAATACGTCGCGGGGAAGGATATGGGCCTGGTAAAGTTTGCCTTCTCGGCCTGCTGAGTCTCAGCAGTGAGATGCTGCCCTTTTAGGGCCCATGCTCTGCTCTCCCTTCTTAGGGTTCTTCATCTTTAAACCAGATCTGGGCTAACAGCCCTTCAGATTGATTGGTTGAGTGAGTGAGTGATTTATCATTAAAAGCTTTTGTGTGCCGTCCTATTATACAAGATTTCAGGACAGATGCAAAACTGTCCCCTGTACACAGGACATGTGGCAACCCTTAGAAGCAGGATCATGACTGCAGTGTTCCTCAAGCTCTGGAATAAGCTCGCTGGGGAAGGCCCCCAGAAGAGGGCTGCCAAGAGACCCACTTATTATTAGAAGCTGATTTAATGGACATCCTGTATTGGGTTCCATCCCTCTAATTTCAATTCTTGTCATCATGTGACTCTCCTGCTGTAACATGCACAGCTATTTTCTATGCCATTTCAAAGTACTGACACCAAACAAGCACGTCAGTGGTAACGAAGCATGAGCGATTTTATCCTAACGTTTACATGTCACAATGAGTGTACATGTGTGTGTGTTTAATTTTTCAAGGCAACGCTGAATCGTTTGCTCGGAACTCCTGCTACAGAGGATCTTTGACACAGCGAAACCCAAATGGCAGAAACAGGAAAGCAGATCATATATTTGCGGCAAGTATTCAGGATCTAGTGCATTCTCTTTATACAGGCTGAGAATATGACCGAAAACAGAGGTCAACACAATCATGAATATGAAAGACAAAGGGTGAGAGACCAAAGATGAGGCATTGGTGTAGATCACAAGCATCAAGTTGGCCTGAAATGTCCAAACTAAAACAAACAAAAAAGAGTTTTTTTTTTTGTATATAGTAGGATAAAAATACATAGTCAATTCAAAGTAGAAAAGTTGCTTTCCTTTACTAATCCAACCTTTTTAAATATGAGATCATACAAATCTTTGAGTTCTACTAGACTTCATCAAATATCAGACAGAATGGAAAGATAACTAACTGGCAATGTAGCAGGTTTCACATCATGTAAATATTCTTTCTGTTGATATAACCATGCCAACATTTTGCACTTTTGGTGCATGCATTGTCCAGTTTGGGTGTGCTTCCATTGCAAAAATTCTGTTGGGTGGTAATTCTGTTTGAACTAATTCTAATGTATGGATTTTGTAAAGGTGTATGGATTGTTTGCACGGAGGTGAGGTAGCCAAGTATGTAATGAAGGAGATAGAATCGTGTACCCATTTCCAACCATGTTGTGAACTTCATTTTAAAACAGAGAAAACAGTAGAGCTATCACAACTGACACTATCTGTAGAACCCTTCAAAATCACCATAAAAACAGGCTGTCATGGTTGTAGAGATGGGAAGGGAATGCTTTGGATCAGAAAAGTCATCTGGATTCTCAGGAGTAAATGACTGCGAATGTTCTCAATCCTGTAGAAAAGGCTAGTGTGGGAGGACTCTTGGGGTTACAGTCCAGAGTAATAATGGTCCGACTGCCCCGTTGTTAAATCCTCCAATGATATATTTGCAATGTCATTTCATCCCTGCCCCTTGAAAAGCCCAGCCTTCCTCTTGAATGGGAATAGGAAGAATGAATTCATTACAACCCTACATGTACTGATGCCTGCCAGTTCCAAAAGGTTTATATCAGTGTTTTGGTATTTTACAGAAGCCTGTGATGACCCATCAGTCTTGAAAACAAGGAAGTCCTCCCAGGCTACTCTTGTGAGACATCAGCTCAAGCATTCAGTTTCCTTGGTTTTCTCCTACTTTGCTCCCATTCATATGCTGTCATATAACATAGGGAAGAGACTAGTCACTTTTGAAAAGAATTTTCTGTGCATCCTTCCTGTGAAATTAGAGTCCTAAATTCTTTACTGTAGTACTGGATTCCAGGTTAGTATAAGGAATTTCTCCCTCAGGACTAACTAACTCACATCTATTAAATAGGACTTGCAGTGCTTAAGTATGTATCCATATTCCAAGTATGTGGATTAAAGCCATGTTATCTAGTCCACTGGGTCTGTAGTGCAGCTTACTTCCACATTTCAGTGGTCTGAAAAGTAGAGGATTTAATGCTGTCCTTCAAGGCAGGTACTGGAAAAGGAATAGGGGTTGGATATGTGAAACTAGAAAACAGAATACCCTCTATTGCTGTCTCTCAGTATCTGGTATCTGAAGCACCTTGAAGTCTTATTTCTTGTAACATAATAAGTGGACTACAGACCATTTTGTCCGATGCTCTCAATGCATCTGACCAGCTGGATTCTAGCCCACAAATGCTTTTTCCCCACAACAAAAATGTTGTTATCAAAATCATCAGAGTGATGATTTTGCTGGAATATGTTCCATTAAAGCTCTGGTGGTCAGCCAGAAACACAGACCATTGCATAGAGTTGTTCTAAGAGGAGGCATCTGCCTGGATTTCTGCAGCACAAGAAGATGAACAGTGCATTGTCTGCCTGTTTTAAGGGGTGTGGGGGAGAGGTTAGAAACAAAAAGGGGCACTAGCAGGGTATGTAGGGCAAAGCAGCAGAAGAGCACAAACTGGAGAAGTTCCCTGGTTTGATCCCTGGCACCTCCAGAGATCAGGCAGTGATGCTCCTCTCCCTGGGGTATCCCTGCTAGCCAAAGCAGACAGTCCTGGTCTAGGTGCCAATTAGTCGTATCTGCTTCTTAAGTTCTTAGCTGCCACTATTGCCATGCAATAACCTGCTACTTAAGCAAACTCAATCGACATCTTTTTATGTTCCAGTCCTTTTTAATATTTCATAGCATCAAATGTATTTGCAGGGCATTAGGCAGGAAAAGAGGAACAGGCTTACAAATACTACAAGTTAAATGTGATATGAAAAGAAACCTATCTTCCAGATGCTCCAGGAGAGGTATTTGGTGTCACAACAAAATGTATTCTGTTAAGCAAATGTGTTAACAACAACACTAAGCAGGACCTTAAGGGAATGCAATTAAATTATCATTGGGATTAAACCTAAGTAATGCTGCGTTGCACACCAGGCGCATTTCCTCAGAATGTTGCCTTGTTAATTGGTGGGATACCTATTTCTGTTAGGTGCCTTTCAAATCCTACACAGAGTAACCAAAATGTTAAGGGCTATTTATGAGCTAAAATTACCTTTTCATCCCCAAGGAAAATGGCACTATGAGCCAAATGGCATGTTGTGTTCCACTCTCATGCATGTATATTCCGATCCAGAAACACGTTCTGAAAGAAACGTGTACTGAACTTTGCACTTGCTGTATTTCCTCGTATGCATAAGGCACCAGCTTTTCTACTGGTATTTCCTTTTGGCACCATGCACAGCTCCTGTTGTAATCTAAAATGTCATCCAGATTTGGAATTCTAGCCTCAGGTTCTGAATCTTAAATTTCTGCTGTTGTTTCCACAAGGCAATTTCCATTCCGTGCTTGCACTTGTACCAGTTATATCCCACGTTCCAATTCCTAGCATTATAATGGCAGGTTTGAACACAGTCTTTGGATCACTGGAAGATGTTACTGAATTCTCTGAGCTGGAGCACCTGGACTATGCCGGCACACGTCCGATGTGCAGGCTGTGAGCCACTGAACCCCTGCACATCCACATGCTGTGTTCTCAGGCACATGTCCCGGGGCAAACAGGTGTATTCCAGCCACCACTGCCTAGACCGAGGGACTAGCATTCTCCCAAAGGATCATCCCAATCCTGGAATTATTGTGCCCAGGATTCATGTGGCAGCATACCTGTGTGGCTGGAGCCCAGATGCATGGCGGTATAGCCATGCAAATGTTACATACCAGAGGGTGCACAAAGAAACGATTTCTGTAGTTCTACTCTGTCGGAACATTTTGTCAAGCCATAGAAAGCAACTGAATCTCTGTGGGTCAAGACTCGATTCCTCTGTCTTAATGCCATTTGCAATACTGATCCCTTGCTAAAATGCATTTTCCAGCCGCAGCTTTGGCACAGCCATATCCTAAACTTCAAAGCCTCTGTAATGTCTCTCTCATTACTAAGTTGTTATCAACCGCTGAGCATCCCAAATCACCTCCACTGATGTAAATTAGTTTCAGTTATTCAGTCTAAGGCACGTATACAATCCATTATTTTATTTTCCCCAAGGACTATTTTTAATCAGATAAAGCTACAGTCGAACAAAAGAATGGTGGAATGAGGGCAGGAAAGAATCCTTGTGTCCTGTATGTGTCTCAGAGAAAAGCAGCAGTGGGGAGTGAAATGTTTGTGAACAGAGCACACGCAAATATTCTCATATGGGGACCAGCGCTTCGCATGCAGTCACCTCTGGCTGCCTCACCTCATTGAAGAAAGCCCTCAGAAGCAATTAAAGAAAGAACTGTAATGGATGTATTCCTTTCACCCAAAAGTAAATTATGTAGTCAATGTGGGTGCGCACATGCACATGCGTGTGCATGCATGCACACCATCATGCAATAAACATGTCGTTATGTTCCTAAAGCAACGTTGCTGTGGGTGTCTATTTTTCTTCCTCATTTTTGGAGGGAAGTGGGGTTTTCTACCACTGTGTTCCTTTGTCTATAGCAGATGTGTTATATTCATAACATGCGAACATTTAGTAATAACATAGAAACAGAAACAGAGCTAGTCAGAAGGGGCCTCGGGCCATCTAGTCTGACCCCCAGCTCCAGCCAGCTCTACGCATGACATGCCCACCATGTGGAAGAGCAGATTGCGGCACTGAAGCACAAACGGAAGCATGTGGGTAGTAAGAGTTCTGGCGCGCCCCATGAACCTGGCAGCTGCCTTGTACCGAGTCGGTCTGTCAGACTGTCTAGCCCAGTGCTGGTGACACTGGCAACAATGGCTCTCCTGGGTTTCAGACAGACGTTTTCCCAGCCCTGCCTGAGATGCCAGCAACTGTACCTGGGACCCGGTATTGCTGAGCTGCATCCCCTCCCTACCCAACCGCAGGGTTCAACTTCAGAGCATTTAGGCATCTTTGAGCTGAAGCAGCTCATTCTCCACAGTGAAGAACAGTGGGCTGTCCCAATATTTTGGATGTTAGAAGCTTCAGAGGGTGGCTGAATTCAGCTTAGTCAATGCTGAATAAGCCTGCAATTGATTTACTTTTGAATCTTCCACTGACAAGTTTTCCATAACAGGAAAACACCAGGCACAGGGAGGGAATGGAAGGCATGTCGTTTTGCAACAGTTTTAGCTTCCAGCCAGGGAATGACTTTACCAGCATTCTCCAGTGTTTACTTCTAATTGCTCTGGGGAAAGACGCAAAAGGCAGAGAAGCTGAAATGGTGTGATCAGTTCTCTCCCAGCCCAAGGTTACTATGGTTTTTCATTCATCATAATACCTTGACCGTTGTGCCCACCCTTCCAAAAGAATTTCAGAGAATATACTTTCACACTGCTGATTGCTCACATTCTCCAAAAGTATGAAATGTTAATGGCTTCTTGCAAAAAAAAGCCCTTAATCATTTTGTGTAAAAGTAGTGCAGGTTTCATCCACACCAAAAGGAGCCACTCTTCCTGCAAATGTAATCTAATTTTGTTAAACAGTTATAAATTATTGGTATCCTTTTAAATAGAACTTCAAATAGAGTCTTGCATAAGCACCTCTGTTCTTGTTTGTTTGGAATTTGACAGACTTCATCCCCTTAGAAGGGACACATCCCCATCCATCAAAAAGTAGTTAAAACCATTGGTTAATT